CCCCAGCCCCCGCAAACTAGTTTCAATGGTTTCTGAACAACATAGTATGGTATAATCACAGGAATGACAGCACTTCCTGGTGCTAGTTTTCTGTTAGCCATATTTTCTTTGCCTGGACAAAATACCTGAGAATATCAACTTAAATGAAGAAGTTTACTTTGGCTCAAAGTTTTAGAAGTTTCAGATGGTCAGCTGGATCTGTTGCTTTTAGGACAATGGCAAGGCAGACATTTCACAACAGAAGAACATGGCAGAGGGCTTTTCACCTCATAGCAGCCAGAAAGAAGAGAGACATCAAGATAAAGGGTCCAGAGACAACATAGAGTTCCTAAGGGCATGCCCCAAGGACCCCTCCCTTTGACTAGACCCTACCTCCTACAGTTCTCACAGCCTCCCAATTCCATTAAACAATGGAAATCTGTTAATTTATTAAACCATTAATGAGGTTGGAGTCCCCATGATTCAAATAATTGAATCAACCTCTCATAAACCCACTTCTGAATATCACTGCATTGGGGACCTAACCTTGAAAACATAAACCTTTGGGGGATATTCCAGATCCAAACCATAATATTTGACAGAAATACATTGAAATCTTGTGATATCAGAGGGGGGGTAACTGTGGTTAGGGTTGCTTTGAGGTTAGGGGATGCTTGTGTATTCTACATGTATTTATACAATTCTTCCTTCAAAGCCTCACATCACTGTTACAGGTCTCCTACACAGCATTTCTGTTATAGAGATTAAGGACCTTAGATTTATGTCTGACTGTATTAACCCCTTTGCTATTGTTCAGGGTTGCTGGAGGTATTTTTCCTCATTATAAAGCAAGTTCACTGGGCACTGATTACCAACTTGTCTAATAAGTTTGGTGAGACAGAATATACAAAGCTTCATGAAGTAGATTTATTACTTATATAAGATGGGCAAGAGAGAAAAACAGAAGTCTTAAGAGTCAATGCTAACTTGTCTCCCCAATATTCAGAAAAGTTGCCATGAGAAAATGGATCTTGACTGCATGTGCCCCATGAAAGTGATTCCAGAAAGCCACCCACACTAGGTTTTATATGTCAGAATAATATGACTCAACTGGATAGAGTGTTGAAGGATGTCCAGTTTCCACAGGGGACTTACTGGTCTTATTCTGGCCAGTGTCTTTTGAAATCATACTGTTGCACTTCTACCACATTTTACAGTTATTAAAAGTACAAGTGATAAAGCAGGGAGAACTGACCAAAGACCAAAAGGAGTGTGGTCCCATACCTCAACTTTGGAAGATCAGGATATTTGTTCATACAGAGGCAAAGGCATTAACAACAATGGCAGTGGAGGTATGAAGGGTTCTGGTGACCCATCTACTAATAGGTTTCTGGACCTGAGCATGCCACATGACTGCTTTTCTATTTCCTGATTACAGGCTGGGAATATCTCAGTGGTAGAGAACTTCCCTTACATGCAACCCCACCACACACACACACACACACACACACACACACACACACACACCTTTCTATGGTGCTGGGGAGCGCGCGCACACACGCACACACACACTCCAGAAGATATACTTTCCATTTCTACTCATGTAAAGTTGTGGGTTTCACAGGTATTAGATGGTTTCACCATCTAATCACCAGTAGTGTAGATCATCTGTATTGTTACATCCAGGAAACCAGAAACATATACTGGAGAACAGCAACTCAGCTTCAGAGAGTGCCACTCAATATTGTTGAGGTGAGAGTCCACATGTAGCCAGGTGTGGTGGTACACACCTGTAATCCCAGTGATTCAGGAGGCAGAGACAGGAGGATCACGAATTAAAAGCCAGCCTCAGCAAAAGGAAGATGTTAAGCAACTCAGTGAGACCCTGTCTCTAAGTACAAAATAGGGCTGGGGATGTGGCTCAGTGGTTGAGTGTTCCTAGTTCAATCTCCAGTACAAAAAAAAAAAAATTTGAGGGGGGAAACAAGAAAATAATTCACATGAAGAGACTCTATGACAAACTTTACATACTTGATACCAACTCTTTATTAGCAAAGAAAATGGAATAGACTTTATGAGCACCCAAAAGAAGTAGTTTTTAACATAAAAAAGGTAGAGATATGTAATGCATGAAGATGATCCAAAACTTACCACATTAAGAACAGTAAGAAAATCCCAACAATTTTCTAAGACTCATTTTTCAATGGTCTATCACAGAAAAATCATACATTTATATAAAAATTAAACATACCTTATTAGAAGTACATTACAACTCACCTTCAGACTCAACACAAAAAATGATAGAAAAAAATTTTATTAACAAACTTTAAAAAAACCCCAATAACTATTGAACTTTGATAATACTGCTTAACAAGTACATGCACTGCCTAACATGTCAGTTAACAATGGGCCACATATCCTATGTTGATTCCATACCAACATAACAGAGCTTAAAAATGCCTATCACATAGTAAATGCATACCTAACAAAAGGGCAAGAGGGCGGAAAAAAACTCAGAAGGAGGAAAAAAAATCAGTGAAGGGTTTAGAAGAGAGCTGCAGTCCTCGATAAACTTTTCTTTAAAAGTTTGAAAACATGGACCCCAATAACCAAATGTTTTCATTAAATAGAGAAGAATGTTCAAGGTATATTACCTGCTCACAAGCAATTCTATAATGAAAAGAAAAGAAGCAAACATCCATTACATATTTATGAAAAATCTTGACACCTCCTGAAGAATAGTCTCAGTCCTTCAGGAGGGATTCCAGGAAAAAAGCATCATCATAGAAAAGGAAAACTCTGTGTGTGTTATTGCCCCTAGGGAATTTCCACTGGGACAGATGTTGAAATGGAAGAGAGTGATATTGGTGATCCTGACCCTGTGTAAAGGCCTAGGATGATGTGTGTGTTTGTACCTTAGCTTTTAACAAAGTTTAAAAACTGGGTTGGGGTTGTGGCTCAGTGGGAGAGCACTCGCCTAGCATGTGCTAGGTAGTGTGTTCGATCCTCAGCACCACATCAAAATAAATAAATAAAATGGAAGTATTGTGTCCAACTGCAATTAAAAAAATTTTAAAAAGGAGGCTAAGCCTAATCATTAAAAAAAAAAGTTTAAAAACTAATAAATAAATAAAATAGTAATATAGAAGTTTATAGAATATGTAAAGAAAATATTTTTACACAGCTGTACAAAGTGCCAAGATAAGTGTTACCACAAGATTTTAAAATATTTTTTAAAAATCAAAGTTTATAAAGTAAAAGTTACAGCAACCTTAGGTTATCCTTGTGGAAAGAAAATATTTTTATGAATTTAGTATAATCTAAGTTTATAGAGTTTATAAAGTCTATAGTAGTGCCCAATTATGTCCTAGAACTTCACATTCAATCACAGATCTCTCACTGATTCACCAATAGCAACATCAAGTCCTGAAAGTTGTATCTGTGGTAAGTGCCCTTCACAGACGTACCATTTATTTTATTTATTTTGGGTACCAGGTATTGAACCCAGGGGCACTCAGCCACTGAGCCACATCCCCATCCCTATTTTTTGTATTTTATTTAGAAACAGAGTTTTATTGAGTTGCTTAGCATCTTGTTTTTTGCTGAGGCTGGCTTTGAACTCGTGATCCTCCTGCTTAAGCTTCCCGAGCCACTGGAATTACAGGCATGCACCATAGCACCTTGATATTTTTAAATTTTATATATAATGTTCCTACTGTGTCATTTCTGTGTATGGGTATTTATACCCTTACTATCATGTTAAACATTGTCTATGGTATTCAGTATAACATACTATATAGGTTTAAATCCTAGAAGTAAATAGGCTATACCACACAGCCTAAGTGTGTAGTAGAAGTACATGTAAGGTTCTTTACATAATGATGAAATTGCCTGACAAGGCATTTCTCAGAATGTATCCCATTGTTAACTGACACTAGTATATCAAGAATATTCACCTCAATGTTTCTGGGCTAAAGAAATGGAAACTCAAGGGCTGGGTTGTGGCTCAGCGGTAGAATACTCGCCTGGCACGTATGAGGCCCTGGGTTCAATCCTCATCACCACATAAAGACAAATAAATAAAATAAAACATGGACCCCAATAACCAAATATTTTCATTAATAGAGAAGAATGTTCAAGGTATATTACCTACTCACAAGCAATTCTATAATGAAAAGAAGCAAACCCGCATTACATATTTATGAAAAAATTTGACTACAACTAAAAAATAAATATTAAAAAGAAATGGAAACGCAAGAGTCCAGAGACCCTCTCTCAGTATGAACCACTAATAAACATAATATAATCATAACTTCTGTGACATTTCATTCATATTGTGAAATTTGGAATATTACATAATAATTTGCACCAAAATTTCAATATTACTTGCACTTATAGGATTTCTTTTCAATTGATAGGATTTCTTTCTTTTCATGACATTGAAAATAAATATTAAAACAAAATTTTATTTGCCACTGGGCACAGTGGTGCATGTCTATAATCCCAGTGACTTGAGAGGCTGAGGCAGGAGGATAGCAAGTTCAAAGCCAGCATTAGCATCTAAGCAAGACCCTAAGCAACTTAGTGAGACTAGGACTAGGGATGTTGCTCAGTAGTTAAGCACCCATGGGTTTAATCCCCAGTACCCAACAAAACCAAAAAAAGTTTATGTGCCAACTACTGGGGTTTCAATACAGAATGCATGCTTATATGTATAAGGTCTATTTCCAGCATGTATTATAATGTGTCCTTGAATGGATGTCAGAGAAATGAGGATATTCTTACATTCCACACATTTATAGGAATTTTCTCCAAAATAAGTTTTTTCATGTCTTCAAATGGACCTGAAACAAATGACGACTTAACACATTTCTTACATTCATAGGGCTTTCCTCCAGTTTTCAAAAAGAACTGGAAAAACTGAAGTCTTCACCAGTTTTTTATAGTTATGGTATTTTCCTCCATTGAGTTGTTCATGCATTTGAAGGGAATTAAAGTCTGACAGCTTTAACCACATTTACATTTTTTCTCGAGTATGGGTTTTTGCATGACTTTGAAGGGAACTGTGAAATCTGAAGGCTTTGCCACACAGTTTACATTCACAGGGTGTTTCTCCAGTATGAATTCTTTCATGGCAACGAAGGGAATTGGAACTACTGAGAGCTTTACCACATTGTTTACATTCATAGCGTCTTTCTCCAGGGTGATTTCTTTCATGATATCGAAGGGAACTGGAACTACTGAAAGCTTTCCCACATTGTTTACATTCATAGGATTTTTCTCCAGTATGAGCTCTTTCATGATATTGAAGGGAACTAGAACAACTGAGCACTTTACCACACTGTTTACATTCATAGGGTTTTCCTTCAGTATGAATTCTTTCATGTTCTTGAAGGTAGTTGTGACATCTGAAGGCTTTACCACATTGTTTACATTTATAGGGTTTACATACAGTATGAGTTCTTTCATGCATTTTAAGGGAACTGGGAAATCTGAATGCTTTACCACACTGTTTGCATTCATAGGGGTTTTCTCCAGTATGAATTCTTTCATGATATCGAAGGGAATTGGAAATAGTGAAAGCTTTACCACATTGTTTACATTCATAGGGGTTTTCTCCAGTATGTATTCTTTCGTGATATCGAAGAGCACTAGAACAACGAAGAGTTTTACCACAGTGCTTACATTCATAGGGTTTTTCTCCAGTGTGAGTTCTTTCATGATATTGAAGGGAACTAGAACAACTGAGCACTTTACCACACTGTTTACACTCATAGGGTTTTTCTTCAGTATGAATTCTTTCATGTTCTTGAAGGTAGCTATGATGTCTGAAGGCTTTACCACATTGATTGCATTCGTAGGGTTTGTATCCACTATGAATTCTTTCATGCACTTTAAGGGAACTGGGAAACCTGAACGCTTTACCACATTGTTCACACTGATAGGACTGTTCTCTGTTATGAGTTCTTGCATGAGATCGAAGGGAGGTGGAGGAACTGAGAGCTTTACCACAATGCTTACATTGGTATGGTTTTGATTCGTTGTGAGTTCTTTCATGTTCTCGAAGGTTACTGTTGCGAGTGAAGGCCTTACCACACTGTTTACATTCATAGGGTTTCTCTCCAGTGTGAGCTCTTTCATGCCGTAGAAGGGAACTTTGATATCGGAAGGCTTTACCACATTGTTTACATACACAGGGTTTTTCTACACTATGAACACTTTCATGAAGTTGAAGGGAACTGGGACAACTCAGTACTTTACCACACTGTTCACGTTCATTGAGTTTTCCTTCAATGTGAGTTCTTTCATGTTCTTGAAGGTAACTGTGACTTCTGAGAGTTTTATCACATTGTTTACGCTCAAAGGACTTGTCTTCAGCATGAGTTCTTTCATGTACTCTAAGGGAATTGGAAGAACTGAGTACTTTACCACATTGTTTACAATTGTAGGTTTTTGCTTCAGTGTGAGTTCTTTCATGTATTCCAAGAGAATTGGAAGAACTAAGAACTTTACCACATTGTTTACGTTTATAGGGATTTTCTTCATTATGAGATCTTCCATGTCTATGAAGGGAACTGGAACAACTCAGAGTTTTATCACATTGTTTGCATTCGTAAGATTTTTCTATACTGTGAATTCTGCCAGGTATTTGAAATGAACTAGAACAAAGAAAGGTCTTCCCACACCGCTTGTCATCAGAGGGTTTGGCTCCAGTGTGAGTTTGTTGGTGTATTTGAAATGAACTGGGGAAATCAAAGACTTTCAAACACAACTCACAAGTATAAGAGCCTTTTATCCTGTGGGTCACCATATGTCTTCCAACACTTCTGAGAGAATTGAAGGTTTTCCCACACTGTTCACATTTATGTGGCTTCTCTCCATATTCCTCACACTCAAGTGCCTTGTATATGGAGTGAGATTTCAGGTGCCCCTTAAGGGATGAATGACACAGGAAAACTTTTCCACACACACTGCATTTACATGGTTTTACTCCAGCAGGAATTTTCTTGCTCTGATTAAGATTTAAAGCCTGGGTGAAGGTTTCTCCACACTGACCACCTTCTTCACTTTCACAGAGTCTCTCTACCACATAACTTCTGTAAAAAATGACAAGTGCATTAGCAAGGGTTTGACTATTATTACCTATCTATTTAATTAGTAAGTGTTGGAGTTCCATGACTCCCCAAATCAGGGAAAGTGTAGGAGTTTTTCCATGGCTGAATGACTTAAAAGTAAACGGATTACACTGAAACATGAATCCCACTTAGCTATTTTCAAAACAGTGACATTCATGCTTGCAGGTGCTTAGTATTGTTTACAAGTGAACTGTTTTGTGAACATATTTGTTACATTTAAGTAAATATTTCTGGTGAAAACTTTCTAATGATAAATAAATTTAAAGTTGTACTTATCTATTTAGTTTGTTTGTTCTTAAAATTCCCTGACATACTATGATTCTCTCAAGGGACTTTGATTTCTCTTGTGCATGCAAATTACCTCAAATTTCTCCCATAATTTTTGTACTGATCTTCAATGTTCTGATCTTTCCATTTGTTTCCTAAAATGGGGACACATGAATTATGACTCATTAGAAATTATTTAAAAATTGTCCAGGAATGTGCTACACACCCATAGTCCCAACCAGTAGAAAGGCTAAAGCAGGAGGATTGCAAGTTCAAGGCTGGCCTGGGCAACAGTGAGACACTGTCCAAAAAAAAAATGCTGGGTGGTGGGAGAGTAGCTCAATGGTAAGTAGAGTGTCCTCCCTGGGTTCAATCCCAAGTACAACAAAAAAATTATATGAAAATTATTATTACTTTCTTGGTTGAGTGTACACTATAATGATTCCTATGCCTATGCCTATGATCAACTCACCAAATTTTTCCCTTTTCACATTCCAAATCACAGAGCAGCATGCATGACCAAGAAACACTTGTCCTCTAACTGACTAAGTAAAGGGATGATGTCATTCTTACCGACAGAAGCCAGGTTCCTGAAGGTTTCCAGCATTACATCCCTGTAGAGATTCTTCTGGGAAGGATCTAGCAAAGCCCATTCCTCTTGGGTAAAGTCCACAGCTACATCCTGAAAAGCCACTGAATCCTAAAATATTCCACATACATGTACAAGAGAATGAGTCCAACTGACAACACAGGATCTATACTCAATTCATAAAAGGTTCACATGATTCTATGGTTTCCAAACATACTCCATGTCTTGGTCATGAGAATTCTTGTCCTTAGATGATACTCCCTTCCACATAGAAGTTCTAATTCTAGAATTGAGCTATTCAGAGAGAGAACAGCACAGTTGGAACATCCTCTCATTAGTGGGCTCAGGGAGTAAGAAGTGCTGCTAGATTACCCTAACTTGTCTTTGTAGAACTGGTTTCTGTCATAACAAAAAGTTAACATTAGCAGTCCTAAGTCTGCTCACATAGTTCAAATTTTGCTAGTATCAGGGAACTTGGAACTTGAAGTAGTTCACCAACATAAATTATAAAAGTGCTTCACTGTGCCTACATGATTTATGTAAATAGTATAGTCCTTTCTGAACTCCTGTTTTCCTTCTGAATGTCTATTAATTTGTTCCATGTTATGCTCACTGTGGTACCTAGAGGATTAGACCCCACTGTGCACTGAGTCTATCGAGCTTATTACCTGGTAGACACTATTTCATGCATGTTTTAACAACTTGTCCATTGGGAAATTGAACTCTTCCTATGTATTTACACCAAAAGAGATCATTTGGGAACTTGCAAGCACTTAACATCAGCTAAATTTAATAAAGTACTATGAAAAATTATCATTATGTAACGATCCTAACAGAACAATTTTAAAATTTATATTAGCATTGCCACCAGAATTATATCAGTGTTTAGATGACACATGTTCTTAGAAAAAACTCAATATAACCAATTTGACATCACCTCTTCCAAATCATACCTCATAAAACAAATCTTTAAAACATACTCTTCAGTAATCAACAAAAACTGCTTTTAATAACCTAAAAGGAATAACAAATGCCTAACAATGACCAAAATCTTCTGAAAAGAGGGTGATGGCTTGCCTCACATACATTAAGGACTTTCAAACCTAATATTCAAAGCAGTCTAGTATTAGTAGAAAACAAATAGCCAAAAGGAAAGGAGTTTTCCATAAGCTGGCATAGAGTGGCACTTTAGAGCAGAGTGAGAAATCACAACCATTTTAAAACATGGGGTAAGGTAAACTGGTCTCTACTTGAAAAAAAATGCATTGCATTTCCAGTTATTCCATGGACAATGTGATCAGCCTAGAACACATGCATAAATCAAAGACAAATATTTCTTGAGTGGAATAGATAGGATATTTCATACATATTTATATATAGTGAAGAGTGGGAGATTTTCCATGCATATTTATATATTTATGTTTTGAAGAATGGGAAGTTTTGTAGTTAGCACATACTGGCCACTCCCTACAATGAACTGAATCAATAATTGTGCAGCTGCACAATGAGAAAGGGGAACAGAGGGCAAGTTCTGAATTCCAACTCAAGAGTCAGTGAGCGGTTGAAGAACAGGAACACTGGTTGTTTAGAATTATGAAAGAGTTTAAAAAAGAAGAAAGAGAAATAGACTTCCATCAGTGCTGAGCATATGGCTGCTCCATGAGGGAAGGGAAACTCCTCTCCAGAGAGCTGGAAAAGAGAAGAATCTTAAAGATTTCAAGAAAGGCCACCTCTAGGTCTGGAGTTGTAGCTCACATATATGAGGCACCAGGTTCAATCCTCAGCACCACAAAAAAATAAATAAGCAAAATAAAAGTATTGTGTCCCTCTACAACTAAAAATGTTTTTAAAACAAGAAAAGGCCAACTCTACTATCAGGCATGTATTCGGTTTGAGCAGAACAAAGATTTAAATACTGCCTAACAATAATGATGTGGCTGAATAGCATACCTGCATTCCCAGGTACTTTCTTCTGGACTCATTGAGAGCTGAGAAGAGGATACTCTTAAAAGGGACATCACTGTCTAGGTTGCATGAGAGATGAGAAATCCCTGCATGGTTTTGTTTGTTTGTTTGGTTGGTTTTTGTTTTTGTCCTCTCTCTTTTTTCTCTTATTTTTTGAATCCCCAAGACCCAACAACCTCATGCTAATTTCTCCCTCCCCCCAGTTTGGTTAATGTGTGCCCAATCCAAAAATCATCTGAGGATCAGGAGTGGGACTATGGCATGAACCCACTGGGAGCCCTAACCTGTGAAAGGCTGATGATGGGACTTCTGAAACTGGCAGTTTGGGTTTACACAGGACTATACACACCAGTTGCACGTTGAGACAATTTAAGTCTGTCCAGATCTCAAGCAGTGGAATTTGTCATGGGACTTTCAGAGCCACCTGGGTTGCACAGGATAGGGCAAGAGTAGTAGGATATTCACAGGGGTACAGGTGTCCACACCTGTTGCAGTCACTGGGATTCATCATGTGAAACTTTCAGAGTCACCCTAACATCTCTGGGGAAGGACAAAGCAAAGTGTGTTGTGAGTCCCAGGGATTTAGGTGTGCACACACACTTGCCAAAGCTGCTGGGTATTCATCACATGGACTTTCAGCTGCTTGGTACTCATCACACAGGTTCTTCTTCCTTCTTTCTATACTGTATTACTCTTATTTCCCCCCTTTCTTTTCTCTCTCATCACTTTTCCTTCTGTCTCTCTTACTTCCCTCTCATTTTTCCTATTTATTTTGTTTGGGTTTGTTTTTGTTTTTGGGTTTACTGTTTCTTTGGCTTATATGTTCTTTCTTTTTTCTTTGAAGTAATGTGTTCACCGGGTTTATTAATTTCATCTTTCTCTTCTTTTTCTTCTATACTCTCACTCTATCATTTTCTGCTACTTGCTTTTTCTTCTTCTGTCTCTTTTCCTTCCCCAACTTTTTCCTTTACTTTTCCCTTTTATATCTCTTCTTCTTTCTCTTTTGTTTTCAAAATTTTAATTTTTAAATTTTTTTAGCCTATTACAGGTTATTACTCCAGTTTCTAGTTTTGGACTATGGAGTTATAGAAAATGTTCTTAATAAGTATTTATGGTATATTAGTATACACTTAGCTTTCAAGTAATGACAGTTGCAATGTGGGGCCAGGAATTGATCAAAGGACAGTAAACATGTTCAGCGGGTCCTTTGACAGAAAGAGATCCCTGGCTCAAGACACATAGTAAAGAGAAAGCAGTTTACTAAAGAGACTTCCATAAAACAGTAGGGGAGACATTGGTTCAAGCAGATTGAATGGAATGACCATTGTTTTGTCAGGGCATGAATACATTGTTTCAAGCCCTCCTGGACTTCCGTGTTTCTGTTGAGAAATCTGATGTTATCCTCATTCATTTTCCTATACTTGTGAATTGGTGTGTCTCTCTTATAGCCTTTAAAATTCTTTCTTTGGTCTGGATTTTATGGGGTTCTAATTGGATATAAATTTCAATACATCAATATAGAAATACAGGAAACATGAGAAAACCAAGAAATAAGATGCCTCCAAAGGCATATAACTCCCTATAGATGTCCAAGTGGATAAAATCCCAAAGAATTCAAAAACTTAATAGTTAAAATAATCAATGAATTAAAAGAAGCTCAAAGAATGAATAAAGGTAGGAAAATATGGGATATAAAAGAGTATTTCAATAAAGAGAGAAATTCTGAAGAAGAATCAAACAGAAATATTGAAAATGAAAGAATAAAAAGTCTCTCCACTAGATTGGATCCATTTCAATCCACTGGGATGCATTTCGATCCATTTAATCCACTAGATTAGGTCAATTTCAAAGTAGAAATCTCCTCTATTTCTTGGTGTGATCCATTCATTGTTCAAAAGTGTATTGTTCAGCTGGGACTGGTAGCACACACCTGTAATTCCAGCAATTTAGAAGGCTGAGGCAGGAAGATTGCAGGTTTGAGGCCAGCCTCAGCAACAATACCAAAAGTTGGTTCTTCAAAAATATTAATAAAATCATTAAACATACAGCCAAGCCAAAAACAAAAAGGCAAAAAAAATGAAAGAGGGAACATCACTACTGATTCCATGGATATTAAAGAAGATCATAAAGGAATATTATGAAATTTCATGACCACAAATTTGGTAACTCAGATGAAAGGGGCAAATTCTTTGAAAGGAACAACCTATCAAAAGGCACATGAGGAGAAATAACAATATGAATCTGTATTAATAAATTGAATCAATGACTAGTAATACTCCAAAAAAGGAAGAACTAGGCCCAGATGATCTCACTGGTAAATTCTTCCAAACATTTAGGGAAGAATTGACACCTGTTCTCTAGAATTCCTTCCACAAAATAAAAGCAGAGTAAACACTTTCTAATTAATGCAATAAGGCTAACATTTACCCTACAACAACCCAAGACAGAGACATTACAAAAAAGGAAAACTACAGAAGATAGATGTAAAAATCCTGAACAAATGTTAATAGATTGAATCTTAAAATGTAATCTCAGGGACTCCCAGGCTGAAGCAGGAGGATCACAATTTCAAAGCCAGCCTCCACAACTTAGACCCTATCTTCAAAAACAATAATAATAAAATGGGTTGGGAACATAACTCAGTGGTGGAAGGCCCTAGGTTCAATTCCCACCATTCAAAAAGTAAAAATTAAAAAATCAATTAATGACCCATCACATCAACAAACTAAATAACAAAATTCATATGGTCATACCAGTAATTGCAAAGAATCACACAGCAAGAAAAGAGAGGGAAGGTGAACCATTAAAATTGAGAAGGAAAAAAACTGTCCATAGATGACACAACTGTCTATGTAGAAAATTCCAAAATCAACAAAAAACTCAAGTACCTAATAAGATGATATAGCAAAGTTATAGAATATGAGATTAATATACAAAAGGCTATCATTTTCCTGCATAACAGCAATGAATAACTGAATTTGAAATTAAAAATACAGCACCACTTACACAGCACCCCTTACATAGCACCAACAATAAAAAGAGAAATATTTTTATATAAGTCTAACAAAGACCTATATGACAAAAACTACAAATTTCTAGTACAAATATGGAAGAACCAAATAAATGGAGAGATATTCCATGATCATAGATAGGACACCTCAATATTATTAAAATGTCAGTTCTCCATTTTAACTATGAATTCAACACAATCCCAATAAAAACACTGACAAGTTAGGTTATCAATAACAAAAAAACCTAAAGGTTGGATGGAAAGGCAAACAAAACAAAAGAAAAAACAGAATGGTCAAAACAATATTGAAGAATAAAAAGTACACAGGATTGACCTAACTTTAAAACTTAATATAAAACTGCAATAATCAAGAGGAAAGAATAAACATAGTTTGACCAAACAGAAAACCCAGAAATTAACCCACAAAAACTGGTCAATTGATCTTTGACAAAAGAGCAAAGGAAATTCAATGATGAGAATATGGTCCTTTCAACAAAGGATACTGGACCACCCGGACATCCACATGCAAAGAAATACAGGAGACCCACACTTAAACGCAAAGTGGATCGTAAATCTAAATGTAAAATGCAAAGTTTAGAACTTCTAGGAGATAACATCCAGAAGCAAAACGACCTTGAGTTTGGCAAGAAATTTTCAGTATCTAAAAGCAGGATCTGTGGATGAGAAACTGTTAACCTGGACTTCACCTGAATTTCGGTTTTTCAAAAGACACAGCCTCCCCGGTCCCCACCGCACAGTCCGGGGAGACGCGGGCTGCGGGCACAGTGCTGCCCGACTGCGCTCCGGGGCTCCGGGACCCCGGGCAGGCCCAAGCGGCCGCGGTGGGACCGGAGAGGGCGCGGGGGTCCTCCAGCCACCCAGGGCCAGGGGGGACCGAGGGCCAAGCGGCGCCGGCGGCGGCCGCGGCCGCAGACTCCGGAGCTGACGCGGGGAGGCCGGCCCTGCCACAAGCGGTTTCCGCCGGTTCCAACCAGCCTGTCTTCCCTGGTCTCAGAACACCGGATTCCCACTCACCATTTCCCAGCTTCTGGGGTCCCTAACGTCCTCCCTACGGCTCCCGCGGTCAGCGGAGGTGTCACCGCCAACAAAAGCTGAGGCCGGGTTCTGAGCTTGGCGGCTGCAGAAACCACAACCTCACGGTTCAGAGAGCAAGCTGGCCCCGCCCCTGAGAGCCTGATTGGCTAGTGACCCAGGGCCCACCCCACTGAGTGACAGGAGAAGCGATCTTGCGGTTGAGTGGAATTGACAGGATCAGGACGTCACAGCCCTTGCCAATTCCCGGCTGCCTCCACAGGGACGGTCCTGGCCCAACCTGGGTCATAATTGCATTTGAGCAGAACTTGTTCGCAGCTTTCCAGACCATGCACGGTTATCATCTTGTACTTCTTGTTGTTCCTCCTGGACACCGAGTCACAGGCTCATCATCCAATGGAGCAATACGTTTACCAGACCACAATGGACCAGACTAGGACAGGAAGGATGATTGGATGTCCTCCAGGGATCAGAAATTTGGGATGAAGTATGCCAAGAATCGTTTACAACTTATCTTTTGGTAAACATTTTCAGTTAAAAAAAAAAATGAAACAGGGGCTGGGGTTGTGGCTCAAGCGGTAGCGCGCTTGCCTGGCATGGCCCGGGTTCGATCGTCAGCACCACATACAAACAAAAATGTTGTGTCTGCCGAAAACTAAAAGATAAATATTAAAATATATTCTCTCTCTCTCTCTCTCTCTCTCTCTCTCTCTCTCTCTCAAATAAATAAATAAATAAATCGCCAAAAAATGAAACAAAAGGGGAACAAAATTATTAAATGCAAGGATAATATATATATATATAATATATATATTATATAAATATATATATATATATTCCCTATTTCATGGATTGTGCCTCTGATTTTTTTCTACCATATAACTCTGAGATATATATATATATATATATATATATATATAATTAAAAAGTCAATTCTGAAAATATAAACATAATTGATAAACCTTTAGCTATATTGACTTAAAAACACAGAGCAAATTGCTAAATTTAGAAATGAAAGCAGAGATATTACTGACACCAGAGGACACTGGGATTTTTTTGTTAGGTAACTACTCAGTCATGAATGGATGAGCAGAGAAAAAATATTGAAGAGCCACTGAAAACCACAGGGACACTTATCTGACAGAAAAGCACCTGGAAGATGGGGGTCTGGTGTGTCAAAACTTTCCCCAACATAATAACATCCCCTTAAGAAAAAATATTGGTTCAAGATCATGTTACACCCCACCAGGTAGCCTGGACCCTCCCTTATCACCAAAACTATTACAACCCCCAATCATTCTGGCAAGTAAAGCATCAAGACCCTCACAAAGAAAGCTTGCTTCGGGTAGAAAACTGATTCAAAGGGTAGAAAAATGATTAAGGGGGCAGGAAATTGAGGTTAAAAACAGAGGGACTCAATTTCCTCTGTGAATGCCACACCATTACTTTGAGGCAGTTAAAGCAGCTCTTATGCTGTGAGTGGGGGCTGGGGTTGTAGCTCAGTGCTTGCCAGCATGTGTGAGGCACTGGGTTTGCTCCTCAGCATCACAAAAAAATAAATAAATAAGTCAGAGGTGGACTTGGGTGGGACTTTGGAAACCTCCCTGGGACTCCCAGTAAAACTGGAAGCAGAAGGGGCGCAGCATCCTCTCCTCTCTTAGAGGACCCACTCTCTCCCTTGAGAGTGTACCCTTTTCCTATCACTTCTAATAAACTCAGGCTGTTACTCTGAGCCACATGTCTTAAATCTTTCTGGCATGATTGCAAGAACCCTGGTGAAAGAAGGTCTTTGCGCTATTTCAATTTCACAGTAGAATTTGTGCCCTGTAACATTTTAAATAGATGAAGATAGACACAAATCAAGTCAGGTGAGCAAATATACAGGCATGGATTTTACTGGCGATTTCATTTAGAAAGAGAGAGAGTGCTCTGACAAGAAGATATCAGATTGAGCCTAGGGGCACTTAACAACTAAGCCATATCCCCAGCCCTTTTTGTATTTTATTTAGAGACAGAGTCTTACGGAGTTGCTTAGGGCCTTGCTAAGTTGCTGAGGCTGGCTTTGAACCCAAGAGCTTCCTGCCTCAGCCTCCTAAGCCTCTGTGATTACAGGCGTGTGCCACAGCACCCGGCCCAAGTTGTCCTTTTAAGGTCTAAGGAGCTCCTTTTATTGTTTACTTTGAGGGGTGATCATGTCAATTGACTTTGGGTATACTCAACTCAAGCATTTTATCCTGTGCTAAAGATGTTACTGTAAATGTTAAAGAGAACACATATATAGCACCCTGACCTCAATGATACAAAGCTGACACTGGTTGAGGGTGGCACAAGCCTCCTGAGGTCTGCTGTCAGGCCATACACCAAGGCCCAGAACTGCATTTGCACTCTTCCCTTTGGTGCATCCTGTCTCATTACTACGAACTTTGCAGAAAGAGAATGGATTCCAAGAAAATACTACACCAGAAAAAGTTAGATAACCCAGAAGAGGTAACAAATTTCTAGAAATGCATAATCTACTAACACTGAATCATGAAGAAATACAAAATCTGATTAGAACTATAATTTGTGAGGAGATTGAATCTGTAATCAAAAACCTCCAGTGATGAAAGGCCAGGACAAGATGACTTCACTGGTAAAATTTACCATATACTTAAAGAAAAGTTAGCAACAATGCTTCTCAAACCCTTCTGAACAACTGAAGAAGAGAGAATGCTTTCCAATTCATTCTGTGAGACCAAGTGCATCCTGAATCCAAAGTCAAACAATGGTACTACAAAGAAAAGAAGCCACAATTTTCCTTTACAACACTGATGCGTAAATCCTTAACAAAATACTAATGAATGGAACAAGCAGCATGTTAGAGGGATTATAAGTTTAAATGCTGTATTTAGGGGTTGGGTTGTGGCTCAGTGGTAGTGTGCTTGCCTAGCATGTGTAAGGCATTGGGTTTGACTCGCAGCACCACATATAAATAAATAAATAAAATAAACATCCATCAACATCTAAAGAATATTTTTTAAATAAATAAATGTATGTTGTATTTACTCCCAGAATGCAAGAATGGGTCAACATGAAAGCAATCACTATAGTATCCGACATTAAAAAGGGAAAAAACCCACATGGTCAGCTCTACTGATTCAGAAAAATCATTTGATAAAACTCATTGTCGGGGCTGGAGATGTGGCTCAGCGGTAGCGCGCTCGCCTGGCATGCGTGCGGCCCGGGTTCGATCCTCAGCACCACATACCAACAAAGATGTTGTGTCCGCCGAGAACTAAAAAAATAAATATTAAAAAAAAATTCTCTCTCTCTCTCTCCTCTCTCACTCTCTCTCTCACTCTCTCTTTAAAAAAAAAAAAAACTCATTGTCATGAAAAACAAAGCAGATGCAATCAATGGGTACAGAATTTGTTTGAAATGATGAGAGTTTTAGGGGTAGCAAAAATTGTTATGTGACATTATGAATAAACTCAATGAAACCGAGTTAGACACATAAAATGTTAAAATGAAAAATTTATGGATGAATATTTTACCACAAAATGCTTAAAACTCAAAACAAAAACCAAATCAAACTAATAGATATGAAAACTACTTATAAATACACCGGAAAAAATACACGAGAAGGTGCCACAACTTGCTCAGCATCAACAACAGATCAAGCAGGTGTGACAGGAGATAAGAAAAACACAGAGACCTGGGGCTGGGGTACAGCTCAGTGGTAGAGTGCTTGCCCAGTGCCTGTGGGTTTGATCCTCATCACCACATTAAAAAATACATATAAACAAATAAAATAAAGTTATTGTGTCCATCCACAAATAAAATAATATTTTTTAAAGAAGCATAGAAACAAAGAAAAACACAGAGACATTTTAAAGCAAAGCTGGAGCCAGGAGAGACACTGTCCTCCGACAGAGGAACAGTGACCCAGAATTAGCTCATGTTTATTATACAGGGTCTCATTATCAAAAAGTTAAACTACAGAAGCTTTGTAAATTGTTTAACGCTTCTGAGTTATCAAGAGGCTTCTTTGTGCACTAAAAAGTTGCAGAGTTAGAACATTTGGTGGCATCCTGTTGTTACAGTATTAGGAACATCCTGCGACTATCCTGCTGTACCCAGAAAACCCATTGCACTGGAACATCTGATAACTATTGATGTCAGAGCCCAGTATCAAGGCTGTTCACATCCTCACCTTTTGGCAAGGAATGTTTCCCAGGCAAGGAATGTTTCCCAGGCTTGGCTTTTGCCTCCACTGCAGGATCAGCTCATTTGTTTTCCACAGGAAGGAATTAAAACAGGAAAGATGAAAAGATGAGTAAAGTTCAAGATTTAGCCACAGAAAATATAACAACAAAATGTAGAGAAAAGGGATGGAGAAAATGAACAGAACATCAGTGAACTGTGTATTGGTACAATTACAAATGCCATAATATGCTTATAATTGGACTCCTTGAAAGCAGGGAAGGACAGAAAAAAATATTTGGATAAATAATGGCTCCAAAGTTTTCAAATTAGGTATAAAGTATAAAACCAAAGATCCAAAAAGACCATTAAACTACAAACAGAAGATTTATAAAAAAAAAAAAATTTACAGCAAGGCATATCATCATGCTTCAAGCTAGGGAGAAAGAAAAATTCATTAAAATAAATAGAGAAAAAAGACATATTCACTATAGAGAAGCAAAGATACAGTTGAGAACATACTTAATAGAAATAATGAAATCATAAGACAGTGGAACAAGAACCAAAAGAGTAATTATACCATCTTAAAATCCTATACCCAACCAAGAATAGCTATTCAATGAAGGGAAATAAGTGCTTTGTTTAGACTTAATGAAAGAATTTGCAACCAGCATTCTAACTCTATAAGAAATGTCAAAGGAATCCCTGAAGAGAAAAAAAGTCTAGACATACAAAGAAGAAAGAAGAGCACCAGAAATGACAATTCAAGTAGTCTTGGTAATACCAAAGATTTTTACTATACTTAAATCTTTTTAAAAGATCTTTGAGGAGCTAGGGATGTAGCTCAGTGGCAAAGCATATGCTTAGCATGCAGGA